TTCATTCTTGATTTTGATCTTAATTATTGTTCATAAACTTATTAAATTACTTGATTAAATCTTGTAAAGTTGTTAACTGTTATTAGCATTTGATCTTTAGATGTGCAACATTGACTTTTTTTTTTTATCTCTTTTCCTTTGATTTTCGTTCTTTCCTGAAGCTTAAATTGATTTAATTTTCTTACATCTAATTAATTAACGATACTTGATTTTCGTTATTATTCATGAAATTATTTAATGATTAATAACTTAATAATATGATTGGAAAATACAGGAAGGGGAACTGATGAGAAGGGAATTAACGGATTGATCGGTCCTAGATTTACAGTGAATTTTTTATTTTTATTTTTTATTATTGATCTTTACTAATTACTTTAGTTATTTAGCAAACTAAATTTAACTTAATTGCAAATTCACTCAAAGACCCGCACCAAAAACCCATGCGATTATCCTATTAATCATTACTCTTGCTGATATAATTATGTTGTTGATTATTACGCTGAGGTTAGGATGGTGGCTAGCAGGAGCAGTGGCAGTGTCAGTGGTAGTAACTAAGTAAGGTGGTGGTAATGGAGAAAAGTGGGTTGTAAGTAGGGGTGAGCAAAGACCCAGGTACCCGGTACCGGATCCGGAATCGGTCAGGACCCGCCAGGTCTGAACCCGGAATTGGTCTCATCAGTTTCGGGACCGAGTCCAAAATATCGTAACCGGTTCCAAGACCGGATCCTAAAATTTCAGATTCGATGCCCACTGGGTACCCGGTTTAAATCAATTCCACTTGTAAAATTAGGCCCATTTTTTTAAAAAAACCCAACAGTCCATATTCTCCATAAGCCCAAAACCTAAAACCCTAACTCCACTCAGCCGCCACCCTTCTCTCTCCTCTTTCATTTCTAATCCTCCCCCTCAACCTCAATTATTTCTATCTCCTCTTTCCTCTCATGCCTACTCCACCATTGCTACCCTTTTAACTCCATCTTCTTCACTTAAATCAATCAAAAGTACTCAAGCTTATCGGAATTGTATGTGTTCATTCCCACAAAAAGAAATTGTATCGGAAATTTCCGAACATTTCTGATTTTATAATTCATGATTCTTTTGCCTTTCAATTATTAAAGAATTCGAGATTCCATTTTCACATCCTACTAAGAAGAAAATTAAAGTAAAAGGGAAATGTAAAGTCTGCTAAGCAATTTGAACGAGGAAGTGTCTTTTGTCTATAATACTTCATTGGTATATCGCTTTCGTCTGTTTATTGTGGTGGTTAGTTGAAGGTGAAAATAGTCATGGGTTGTTGTATATGGTGGAGGAGCAAGGCAGCAGCTTCTTCTCCCTTAGTCCTCGACCTTTGCGCCGCTCCAGGTGGTTGGTTCCCTCGTTGTCGACATCAATTTTTTCCGATTCGCCCCATCTGATTGTATCTCCGTTGAAGAACCGGGTACCCGGTCTTGGAACCGGTTTCGAACGGTTCCGGGACCAGTTCCAAATTTGGCTACCCGGTACAACCGGTTCCGGGACCGTATCTAAGATTTGGCTACCCTACAACCGGTTCCGAGACCGGATCTTCTGAAATGTACCGGGTACCCGATAATGCTCACCCCTAGTTGTAAGGTGAGGAGAGAGATTCAATGGATAATAATAAAAATATAATCGGCTAAATAGGTTGTAGGTCAAAAAGCCTATTTTGAAAAAATGGAGGTAAAAGGTGGGATTATTTTGAACACATCGCGTAAAGGTGGGATTATTAATTTCAAATTTTCCTTTTAAATTCTACTTTGATTTTAGCATAATTAATTTATAATTTGGGTTTTTCTAAGCTATGCCCCCGTGGTTATTAAGTTTCTAATGTGTGCCCATACTTTTTCAAAATTACTAGATGTACCCTCAACTTAAGGTGTTTATTCACTGTACATTATAATGTTAATCAAACACTAGTACTTGTGTTAACGGTTTATTACCACACTTTGGAGAGAAATTTCACGACCAAATTGGGTAGAATTATATAAGTAGTTTAACATTTAGCCTTTTTTCCAAATTTTCTCATTTATGTTTTCTTTTTTCTCCTAAAAGCAACCATTGATATGTCAACCTCTCGGTGTATTTCTTATTCTTTTTTCTCATCCGCTTCTTATTACTTCCTATTTATTTACAATTATTAGTGTTGAGTTTATGTCAGAGAGTACAGTTGATTAAACAACTTAAGTTGGAGGGCACAACTTATAATTTTAAAAAAGCATGGACACACTTTAGAAACTCAACAAACTTGAGGACATAGCTTAGAAAACCCTTATATTTAATTTTAATATACCATTTTGCTTACGATTTATACTATGTTATATTTTCATACTATGTACTAGTACAATTGTGTCAATAATTTTGAAACAAAGGGAAACATTACATACAATCAAAGAGTATGTTGGAATAATTTAAAACTGAAAACTATGTGATTAAAAATGAAGGGAGAAAGGAGAAATTGTAGTATATATTTCGTTTCATAATAATTAACACAATTTGACTTTAATTTTCACAATTCACACTCACTTTGACTATTGCTTTTGAGTAATGTTTGTAATGCAATTACTATTTTCAATGTACGTATATGTGTAAGAAGATTTAATACTCACATAGTATCATGTTAGGAATTTATTATACTTAGTGAGGAACTCACATTGTGACATTATGAGTTTGAGCCCCACCAACTACATTTGTTTGGAACGGAGTAGGGGGATTTCCTTACCTCCCCCTCTACTCTCAAGCGTTAGTCCTGCGGAACTGGGCTCGCTTAACCTGTGAGAGATGCCGGTTCAATATATATATATATATATATATATATATAGTGTCATTACAAGGTTGGTTGCGAGCTTATGACAAGTAGATTAATTGGAATTGTTGAATCATTTTGTTATTTGATACATCAAAAAGTTGGAATGAATTTATTAAAAGCTTAATACTCCCTCTGATTTTAATAAGTGATTCAATTTTTATTTTTGACTAATAAGGGGGTGTGTTCTATTCACCTGATTTCACTTATCTAAACTTACTTGAACATATCTAAACTTATCTGAACTTATTAAACCTTATTAAAACTTATTTTAGTTGTAATTTGTACTTAGGTAACCCTTATCAAAACTTATTTTTTCTGAACTGAACTTATTTAGAACTTATTACACCTAAAATAAGTAAAAACAAGGTGAACAAAACAGACCCTAAGTGCTCTATTTCTATTTTTTAAAACATGTAACGATTTTTTAATAATTGCCTCTCAACTAATGGTCCCCTATTTTATTATTTTTTTAAAAAAAATATTTTCACCTACTATTTCTAGCTCTTTTCCCTACAATCACCCACTATTTTTTTTTTTAATTTTTCAACATACCCCATAAAAATAATAATTTAATACATTTAACTCTTTATCCTAAAATTTTGTGAAAGTCAAAGCAAAACACTTAGTAAACAAACGGAGGAAGTACATGTTATAAGTATATTGAATCATGTGATTATTTATTATTCAAGCATTCACTTGAGTTTAACTAGTTTTGTTTCAAATTAGCAACCCAAAGTAACACCCAACAACACACTAGTTGTTATTATTATTATTATTATTATTATTATTATTATTATTATTATTAGCATGAATTAGACAACTTAGCTATCTATTTTGACGATGTTTTAACTGATTAGTGTTAAGATGCGGTCAAAATTTAGTCTAATAAATTAATACGTTTAAACATACAATACTAGATAAAATTATTCAGATTAAACCTTACGGAACCTTGTTAAATTTAAATCACCTTATTTTTTGCGAAGAAAATAAGTCACTTGTTCACCTTATTTATGTAACTTATTACTTTTTTTGAAAGAACACACTGAGCTTTTCATTAAGAAACATCCATTTCCGCAAGCCGTAAAATGCCTTCCGGGAATGGTTCAAAACATACACTTTCTGTAGAGTTAGCCACACCTGATCTAGCCACTAAATGGGCAACATTATTCCCACCCCTTTTTACATGGCTACAAACAAAAGAGCGTAACAAAGAGCTCAAGTGCAAAATACGATCAATGAACAGATGAAGATAATTAAACCCCTGCTTCTTCTGCTTAACCCGTTGTACCAGACCAAGAGAATCACTTTCAACCCAGACATTTCCATAGCCAAACCGGATTGCAAGCTCAAGCCCATACTTCATTGCGGCTGCCCCTGCTAGTAAAACATCCCACTTTCCCCTGAACTTTCGGGCCCCTGTGAAAACGACACTGCCTACATTATTTCTAGCAACAACCTCGATTCTCACCTCTTCCTCATTCATTATCGCTGCTTCCACGTTAATTTTGATTACCCCTTCACCTGGTTTTTTCCATGATTTGCTACTCCCAAATCTGTTTTGGCAGGTAATGGTCGTAACTCTGGATGAAATAAGCCTGGTAATCTTGTACGTACCTCACAAAACTGGTGGCAAGCTATTGTGGTACGTGGGTTCCTTCCTCAAACAACGACTTGTTCCTGCTCGTCCAAGCAGCCCACGCAAGGGTAGCGAATAGGCAGAAGTCAAAGCTGGAGAGACCTTCTATCATATTGGCAAGAGTTTCATGGAACACTTCACTCAGCCAGATCTGAATCTCCTCCCATATGTGGCAATGAACCCATATTTCCCTTACTTTTTCGCAGTTGAACAATGCATGAGCTATGGACTCATAGCATTGTTACACCGTTGACACGTTTTTGTATCTCTGATATGCCTCCTATGGAGTTCGGTACCAACAGCCAGAGTGTTAGTACAAGCACGCCATAGGAAGTGTTTTAATTTCGGAGGACCAGCTAGGTTCCATACGCCTCTCCATACTTTTTCATTGATTACACTGCTCACAATACGATTCCCTAATATCCCCAGCTAATAAGCTGATTTTACAAAAAAGCACCTCGAAGAAGTCAGCGTCCAGAATAGAGAGTCCGGTTCAGCAACATCAACCAGTGGAAGCTCCTTAACAATTGCAATATCATCCTATGTCATGTGTAATGCCAAGGATGTCTCATTCCAACTACTCGTACTCGAATCAATCAGCTTATAAACTAACAAGTCTGAATCATGGAGACCGTTTGGAGGGGGATCAGGAGGTCTCATCACACTACTACTCGGCAGCCAGCAATCATGCCAGGACCGAATGCTCTTGCCATCCCCCACTCTCCAGCCCAATCCTTCTTTTAGAAGAGCTCTAGCCCCCCAAATACTCCTCCGTGTGAAGCTGGGGCAGTACCCGCGGTGAGCTTCTAAAAACTCTGTATTTTTGAAGTATCGGGCTTTTAAAACTCGATAGAGCAGTGTATCCTTCCTGTGAAGAAGCCTCCAGCCTTGTTTCGCTAACAGTGCTTGATTAAATATTTTCAGATCCCTGAACCCCATACCACCTTTAGCTTTCGGAAGGCATAAATCCTCCCATTTCTTCCAATGCATCTTCTTCTCCGCACCATTACCCCACCAAAAGCGAGTCAAGATAGCATGAATTTCATCAATGAGTCTGTCCGGGATCTTAAAAATTCCCATCAAGTAAGTAGGTATTGCTTGTGCTACAGCTTTGATGAGAATTTCTTTCCCGGCTCTTGACATAAGCTTTTCTTTCCACCCCTGCATTTTCTTCCAGATGCGATCTTTCAAGCCTGCGAAGATACTCTTTTTGGATTTCCCTATCACTGTTGGGATGCCAAGATACCTCTCATGTTTATCCACTTCTCTAACTCCCAACAGATTACATATTTCCTGTCTTCGGCTACCAGCAACATTTTTGCTAAAAACTGCTTCCGATTTATGAAAATTTATTTTTTTTCCCCGAAGCACGTTCATAAATCTGTAATACCCGAGCAATTTCTGAACATTCCGCAACACTGGCCTTGGTAAACAAGATGCTGTCATCTGCAAAAAATAAGTGAGAGATACTAGGAGCCCCATTACAAATTTTCGCCCCATTAATAATACCTTCTGCTGCTGCTTTTGATAACAAACAAGAGAATGCATCGGCTACTAGTAAAAATAAATACGGGGAGATGGGGTCACCCTATCTGAGTCCTCTCTGGGGTTTGAAATCACCTATCATATCTCCATGCAGTTTAAATTTGAAGGAATAACAGGATAAACAGTTCATAATTTTTTGAACCCAGGCATCTCTAAAATCAAACTTCACCATAACCTTTTCAACAAATCCCCACTCTACTCTGTCATAAGCTTTCATCATATCCAGCTTGAGAGCTACATTGCCATATCTACCCCCCCCCTCTATTCTTCATGCGTGAAAAACCTCGAAAGCTAGCAAAGCATTATCAGTAATTTGACGCCCAGGGACAAAAGCACTTTGTTGGGGGGAGATAAGCTTGGGTAGCAGTGGTTTTAGGCGGTTGTCTAGGCATTTTGATATTATTTTATAGATGACATTGTATAGGCTAATTGGTCTATACTCGGTTATTTTTTTTTTGGAACATGACATTTTGGGACAAGTACAATGCAAGTGTTACTAATACCAAAAATGTCCACTTGACCGTGCCACCAACTAACAATAAAACTCACAACATCATTCTTAATAATATGCCAAAATTTTTGGAAAAATAAATCATGCATACCGTCAGTTCCCGGCGCCTTATTAGGATGCATATCAAATAGAGCTATTTCCACCTCATTCGCCGTTGGGACCATGCATAATTCATCGTTCATTGTCTCTGTGATGCCGTGAGTAATGCCCATAAGAGCCTCATCAAAGTCAACAACTCCCTCAGTAGTAAAGAGTTGGGAAAAGTAGTTTGTGACTACCTCTGAAATTCCTTTCTCGTCTTGAATCCACTGCCCATTACTATCCTCCAACCCCACAATCATATTTTTTGCCTTTCTTGCACTTGCCTTGTGGTGGAAATAAGAAGTGTTCTTATCCCCATCACGAAGTTCATTCGTTCTAGCCCTTACATGCCAATACGATTCTTCAAGTAATTGTAATTGATCAATTTCCTCCGAAAGCTTTCTACATTGCTCTAATTTAGTGTTATCCATTATATCCACTTGCTCTACCCGTAGCTTCTCCTATGCAATTTTCATTCTCTTCGCTATATTACCAAAAGACTTGCCTGCCCATCTACCTAGGTCCGAAGATAGAGAGGCTATTTTCTCTGGCACCGAGAGCATTGCATCCCCTTTCCATGAAGCCTTAACGACTCTTTCACACTCTGGGTTCGATAGCCATAGAGACTCAAATTTGAAAATTTTCTTTTTTCTCCTGTTTTCCTCTCGTACCCCTTCTTTAAGGATAATAGGCGCATGATCAGATCTCTTTGGCATAATTGGGAAATGGTGTACCTCATAGGCTGGAAACAGTTTGCACCACTCCTCTGTTGCAAGAAATCGATCAAGCCGTTCTTGAACCAGGGTATCCATGGTCAGGCCACGTTGCCATGTATATACACCTCCTTTGAACTGTAAGTCTCGAACACACACCTCATCAATCGCTTCCCGAAAACCATCAATACATCTCTCACTCCTCAGAGCTCTACCTCTCTTCTCATTGACGCTCAGGATTTCATTGAAATCCCCAAAGTAAATCAACGGACCCGGTGCATTTTGCTTCAGAGAATTCAATAATAGCCAAGTTTTATATTTATTGACATTTTCAGGCCATCCATACATCCCTACTTCCCTCCATTTAACCACATTACCTTTTGTCAAGTATATCAACTGCTATATGATTATTAGAGAATGAAACTACACTCACCTTGATATTCCTCCACCATAATCCTAAACCTCCTGCCAAACCATTGCTACTAAATCCTAGGCCCTCCACAAAGCCACATTTTCTCCTAACATTTTCAAGTCTATGTGCATCAATTTTGGTTTCCATAATGAACACCAAATTCGGCATCTCCCTCCAGCACCAATCCCTGAGGGAACTAACTGTCCGAGGGTTGCCAATCCCCCGGCAGTTCCAGTTAAAAAATTTCATTTTTGTTCGCGGGGTGGATTATTGACTACCTTTGCTACTTTCAAGTTCAGCACAACACACTCTATGTTTCCCTGGATCTTCCCCCTCTTGTTGCGTTCTCCCTCTTCCTCACCCTCCCCTCCATCCACCTCCATATTATCTACTAACTTCCTTTTCATTCCCACCATCTCATTCACAGTAAGTTCACCCTCACTTTGTCCTACATCCTCCATACTATTGTTTGTATTACTCTTCATTTTATACTTTGCTCCTCCCTTTCTCTTGGACCCCACACACCTCTTCTTGTCTCCCATTATACTACCCATATTGAATTGCAATGAAGAATTAATTAGAGTTCCTGTTTCATTAATTGCTTTTGACTTCTCTAAATACACACCACTCTAGCAGGCAGTCTGTGACCATGACTCATCACTCCTCCCTGTCTCCCCTGTCTTAACAAACTTCGCACCCCTCACCACTACTTCATTCCCATCCTCAGTTGGATCTTGCTCCCCTACAGGCTCTTGCACCCCTCTCCCCTGGTTGTACTCACTGCCCACTCCAACATCCAGAAATTTCCTCGCTGCATCCTTCCTCAATATATGCTCTCGTGTTTGACTCTCCTTCTCACTCCCCTCTGGAGCACCCGGTATTTTTGGAACATTGGTCAACCTTTCCCCTATATTATTATGCTGCCCAGTCTAAGGAATAAAGTACAGTTTTTTGGCTACTTTCAATTCCTTAACTTCCATGCCTTCTTGTGTTTTTCCTTTCAACGGGGAAGCCTTTAGCCACGCACCCCACCCATAGCCATCGACATTCGAATCATCAGATATTGCAGCATAATCACGTTCGCTATGCCCCATGACTCCACAAGAGAAGCAGAAGAAAGGAAGTCTTTCATACTTCAAATTAATTTTAACTATATTTCCTTCTCTAGTTCGAAGGTTTTGGTATCTCTGTAAAGGTTTACGCACATCCATCAGCACCTTCACCCTACGACTCTTTCATATTGCTATGATATCTTCTTCAATCTCGACCACTTCCCCCATCTTCCCTGCAATCGTACGAAATGGTTATCTGTGCGACAATTAAAAGGGAGATCCTCCAACCTAATCCAAAACAGAGAAATAGGTTCCACTCAGATCAGCTAATAAGTAAGAGTTCCATTTAGCAACGATGATTATTATTTGTTTTTTTAAGTTTATTTTATGATTTCATGTGTGTGATTTTAATCGGTATATATTTAATTTTGTAATAAAAAATTTATTAAAATACATATTAATAAAGTTCATATCATTATGAATCTAACAAGAATTCATTTGACATGTTTTTACCTAGATTAGCGTATAAGGGCAAACTTTAGTTTATCCAAACAATCATATCAGAAAAAAAAGTTCAAATTAAATTTAAAAAAAATAAAATAAAATAAAAAGTTTAAATCAAATTAGTCCTGATTAACGAAAAATTAGTTGAATTAAACATAGCCTAATTCAATGGTCATGATTAATTGATTAAAGATGATGATAGCACATATTAGACGTTCACGATTAAATTGATATGGAAATTATGGAGTTGTCGATAATTGTCATGAATCATGGAGTCATGGGCTAATGGAGCTGCAACAAATCAGCGACAAGGGGGAGTTTTTCCTTCTTTTTTTTTCATTTTCTTTTCTTTTCACATTTATCTCTAATCTAAAAGTGTATAAATATGTTTGGTGTATAATCTGTATATAATACAAGTACAAAAACATAAGGTATACAAATTAAAATTTTGAATAAGGTGTTTAAAATATATATATAAACTAAGTATCACGAACAAAAATATTTAAGTTAAATAATGCAAATTTCCCCCTGTAAAGGTATGTAGTCCAAAGGTAAAAAAAATTCTTGAATAACCCACTGCCAAAACCAAAAAAAAAAAAGAAAAAAAAAAGGAAAAATTTTAATTAAACCTTTATCAAAACAAAAAAAAAAAACAAAAGGAAAACAATTTTTTTTTTTTTTTTTTTTTTTTTGACGGGAGAAACAGAAAATTTTTATTTGAACCTTTGTCAAAACAAAACATTAAGGGTTTGTTATGTTCACTTTATTTTCACATATTTTAGGTCTAATAATGTTTAGATAATTAATTTCAGTCAAGTTATGATAAGTTTAGTTTAAGAAAAATAAGTTCGGTTCAGGAAAAATAAGTTTTGATAAGGGTTACCTAAGTTCAGATTATAAGCGGTGTGATAAATCGATACTAATTCTTCTTTGGCTTTCGCTAATGCTCCCTACTCAAACGAAAAAAGGACTTGAAATTCTTTTTAGAGAAAGAACTGTAAATTCTTTTTGTAAATCCTTTCTTAGGAAGAACTTGCAATTTTTTTTCTCTAGACTCGAAATGAGAGCAATTTTGCAAAAGGATCTTCAAATTCTTTCCGGAGGATCTTCAAACAAGAATAAGTTTTAATAAGTTCAGATAATTTTAGTTAAGTCCAGATTAGGTATACTAAGTTCAAATAAGTTTAGTTAAGTTTAGATAAGTTCAGTTAACTTCAGATGATAAGTGAAAATCAAGTAAATAAAACACACCCTAAATTATGAAATAGACATTGTGAGTTGTGACTAATCTATTGATGTGTTAAATAATAACCTCTATTTAGTTTATAATAGTAAAATAAAAAATAAGTCAAAGATGATGTGTGAAAATTGCAAAAATCAAAGTGATACATTTAAATAGAATGGAGAGAATAATTAAAAATGAAAAGGTACTTCGTATCAAATAACAGAAAAAATTATAAATAGTGCTATCTTAAGATGATGTGTGGAAATTGTAAAAGTCAAAGTGATACATTTAAATAGAACGGAGAGAATAATTAAAAATGAAAATGTACTCCATATCAAATAAAAGAAAAAATTATAAAATAAAGATATGATCCTAACACTTCAGAGTTAACAAACCATCATACGCCATTACTTTAGCTATCTTCCATCCTTGTGTTAAGGGTGCAAAAAATTTAAGGAAATTTTGCAATAAACCACCTTTTATAACCAATTTTTTTTGCAAGAAACCACCTTATAATTTTTTTTTTTTTTTTTTTTTTTTTTTTTTTTTTTTTTTTTTGTTTGCAAAGACACACCTTAATCAAACTTTTTTCGCAACGCCACACCTTTGGCTGGAAAATAGGGTTTGACCCTGTATTTTGATGTTGACCTGAACACGTGCATGCCACGTGAGGTCTTTAAACCACTCTTCCTCTCTTTTTCAAAAAGGTGGTTTATTGCAAAATTTCCAAAATAAAGGCAAAAGTAATAAGTTGTCCTTTGTTATATAATGGAATGGAAACACATGAAACAATTATGGTCTAACATAACTTAAAACAACATTTTTTAAATTGTTGCATATGCACAAGTTTATTGTTGTTATTTTCTTGGGCAACATTTGAAATAAGTGTTGTCTTATGTAAGAAAAAGGCAACGTTTTATGATATTGTAGTCGTATATACTCTAAAGCAACATTTTTAAATTTTGCACTGTAATGTAGTATAGATTATTAGAGATCAAGGTAACAAACTAGTATTGTTGCCTTTTACTACAAAAGGTAACAATTGTCATATTGTTGCAATTTTACGTGTTGCCTATTCTCAATTTTTTTTGTAGTGTATCTTCACCTAACTCGATAATCAAAGACGTGAAAGGTACTCATCATTGGGTTTGGTTTTTAGGGAGACTCAATCAGGTGTCTACATTATCCGTTTGATTATTATGAACTAGTGAGATTATATTTGAGACCGGCCATCTTCAGTGTAATTAGCTAGTTTGACGACTAGAGTAATAACTTGTGATCCGTAATTGTCCTAGTTGATACCGTTAGTAGTGATAAGGTGTTTGATTGGTGACTAAAACTTGTCGTAATACCTAAGATTATCAACCCTTTGAATTGCACAAGTCTGAGCTTGTGAGATTTGTGGCTTAAGTTAACTACTTCCTTGTTATTAATGCTGCTAAGTAATCGAGTCTAGAGAGCTTGTTCTAGATTATTAGTTAGTTAGACAATATACCCAAAGCTTGTTTGGTTTATTTACAATTAA